AACGCCGTTTAGCACGACGCTTGTTCATTATTATAACTATAACTGTTAGGTTTTATATGGTTGATATTGACATTATTTCATTCTCATTATCGCTGTTGTTTTTATTGTTACTTTGCAGGCAGAGCGGGACCGGCTGCGAAGCCGGTACGGGGAGAGCGAGAAGTTGCTTGGAGCTTAGCCGAGACGGCAGATGCTCGTCGACCCTTCCAAACCTACTGGTTCCAAGTTTCAACCCTTTGGGTTTGTCGTGTGCAGAGAGTTGACAATACATTGGAATAAAGGGAGAATATCAATAGTAACAGCAGCAACAATAATGATGGACCACAACTTGCGTTTACAAGTGTAGTTAGGACGAAAAATCGTAATCATAATCGTGCCCATACAAATAAAGAGCCATGATAGCAATGATAGCAGCAACAACAACAGTAATAATGAACATAAGAACAGACCTAATAGCAGTATACTACGTACTAACCCTAATACTAACCACAACATGAATAGTAATACCAGCAGTAGTAGCACTAAAAAAACACTTGTAGATGTTGCTGGTCACCAGCCTAGGCGGGTGGATGCGGCTCAAGCACGGGACTCTCTGAGAGAAGAGCTGCGGCTGCTCGAGGCTCCCAGCAAAGAATGCAGCTCAATGAATATACTGACACAGGTTGAGGGTGTTAGGCTTTGGGTCGCACCTTTGTTAGATGGTAGATCATGTTTGTCTTTTTTGTTTTACGGATTTAGGGAAACTCCTGGACCCTAAACCTTAAACTTGTTTGCGGGAGGACGGCCTGGCGAAGGAGAGGCAGCGAGCTGGCAAAGTCGGGGAGCTCAAGCAGAGCATGTGGGGGATCTTGAGGTGTAGGGGTACTTTGACGAGGATTTCGGCTTTAGACGAGGGGGTTCGATTCTTGTAAGCATCCTAGAAGGTCTTATAGATTGTTGAATAGACTCTATATGAGCAGACTGTTGTCGGCAGGAAGACTACCAATATCATTATCACCACAAGTCGTGTCTTTATGGCAGTTACACGTCTCGCTAGCAGCCACGAGCATTGTAGGAAGCCTTCGGTTCAAGCAAGTCGAGCGGTTGCTGCAAGACATGATATGCAAGGGCGCCATGAGAAAGGACATCGGTGTGTGTTTGGTAGTAGGAGGCGAAGCTTGGTACTCGACCCTTTCCAACCCTTGCTTGAAGATGCTCACCAAACCACAGCAGACACCATCCTACCATGATGAATAGACAGCCGAGTTGACGCGGTAGCCTGTAGCAAGTAGCGGGGCTGGTCTGACACGTGCTCGTCAGACGGGCTCCCCGGCTGCGGGACCACCCGGGCCCCAAGCCCGGAACAGAGCCCGTAAGCCTTTAACCCTTATACTTGTAGCTGTCGTCTGCCTTCTAGTAAGAGTAGTTTTTTTTTTTTGCCAGCTTTCGAAGTTCCAACTTCAAAGGCAGAGCGGCGAGCTGAGGAGCTGGGCCTCCGCCTCCAGGACCCTTGGCCTTGGGAGGGTTCCGTGGTGGAGAGTTGAGGGCTGGGCAGAGGGTTTCTGAAAGGAGACTGCAACGTAACACTTACCACCGGTGTAGCTCTGCCGACCCGAGGATTTGTAACCCCTGGCTCGTACTTCTTTCTTGTTGCGGGCCGAACGGCAGTGGCAGTGCCTCATCGGGTGCCCTTCAGAGCCGCGTGGCAGGAACAGGAAACGTCGGTGTCTCGGTTTTCAGCTCCTCTGAACCAGGAGACTGCAGTCATGCTAACCACAGCCTGAGCTTCTTCCAACATGTTCGCATCGATGTTGAAGTGAAGCCGGATCCGATGCTCAGGGCTCGTCAGCACCTGCGGTCCGCAGGCAGTTCGACACACCCTTGACCTCATACCGTCAAGACTCGCCATGGAGTTTCCGGACACTGCTAAAGACAACTTTTCCTGCAGATAAAAGGTGTTCCCAAGGCTGATAACTTTCAAGCGACAGGAAACTGACAGTTCTAGCGACCTTTAGGTGCAGTCGCACGGGCAGGGGAACAGCAGCGGCAGGAAGGTTGAGAAACAGCTTCACGCATCTTTATCCATCTCTGTACCCCTCCAAAGCATCAGCAACTGCAGACAGGCAGTCTCGGTATAGGGCTTAGGACTAAAGAGCTGAGATTTTGCTGGCCATGGTTGCCTGGAACCCATGGGAGGAGGCTGCGATACGCCTGGCACGCTGTCGTCCTTCGTCTTTAGACTACAGTAACGACTGCTTTTTTCTTGCAGGCCTTTTGCCTTCGCTGGGCGAGTTGACCAGAGCAACATGGACCTGCACTCAGTTCCCTTCTGCCAGAATCAGACCTGCATTCCGGAGACGCGCTGTGCTCGAGGCTCTTGCCAGGTCTGCGCTATCATGTACTGCGCTTTTGGGATGGCTGGCCCGGGGCATCATGGATCCGGATGAGCAGGATCGCCTCCCTCTGTTCCTCTAAGAGAATGTTCTCCGCCAACGCAGACTACAGCGAATGTGGCAACAGGAGAAGAGGCTGGCATGGAAGTACCTCGATTGTTCCAACCTGGTCGACGAGCGTGCCGCGCTTGGCATTTTGTAGCACCGTCTGTTGCCTTGAATCTCGCGAGGGCCTTGCATGCGCCATACTCTCTGGAACCGTAAACCCCAAACCCTAACCTCGGGTGAGCACTGAAATCATCTTAGGCGACCGGCGCGTCGACTGGCCGTGGTTCCGCCAGCACTTGCTGCAGACTCCGCTTTGCCGGCATGTCTTGGAAGGCTGCGTCGCACGAGAGGGTCTGACAGCAGGAGCAAACACTCTATAAGGTGATGCTGACCTTTCACATTGAACACGGAATGCCTGTTCGTGTTCGTGATAGCGATATCTCGTGACCATCAGTGAACTTGGAAGGTACCCAGACAACATGGATGCAGTTTTCACCGTGTTGAACAATATGGGTACGGGCAGCAGCAATCACTACGACGAGGAGGTGGCTCGCAATGCTACTAGTTTCAGTTTGAGACACATGGCATGGGACTGCAGGCACGCGTGTGCCTCATGGGCGTGCCGGCTGCCGGGGGCGCAGAGTTTGATGCTCACAATCGATACAACGCAAAGCTGCCCCCTGCCTCCCGAACGGCTGGAGACGGCTGGCGAGGCATTTTTCTATCTCACCCGCTTCACGCTGGACACGTCTCGTTCTCAGCCGTTGTCTGCTGCAATCTGCTAGAAGCAGCCAACAGCTAGGGCCTAGCTGCCAGACATCGAGTCTTCGAGTTTACAGGTAGACATAGTCGCCAAACCCAAGCAGGGCCGTCACCAGCCCTTCTCAGCCCGAAGGATGGAGAGGGACGCAGATGGCCGTGCCGTTGATGCAGAGACCGTCAAGAAGGCGTGAGCTGTTGGGAGGTTGGCTGAAGCAGAGCTTGATCTTCCCATGCACCCCTTTTGATTGTCATACTCGGATCACTAGAGTATTATTAACGGTTACTACTTCTAGCGATAGTTAGCTCTACTCGATGAATCGCTTGCCCATTCGCTTCTATGGTGGGTCTCAAGCTGTTTTGCATCAAGCCAGCGAGCTCATTTTTCCGCGTTGCTGCTTCCTGCTAAACCGAGAGTAGATGACCAGGTTGCCAGGTTCTTATCATGATGCCGAAGCCTTTGCTCTGGGCCTCAGACACTAAGCGTCGCCAAGACCTACCTTGTCCGGGCTGCGAGGCGACACTGCAGTATTCGGTTTTTGAGAACTACATCTCGGCCCTCCATCCAGGTGGGAGTGCGGAGTTTCAGAGCGCAGTTCGTGTTCATCCTGGGCTCTTGCTTAATCTTGCTTGGTGAGATCAAAACCCTCTGCTCCTTCTTTGACGTTGCACGGCTACACTGTAGCAGGAGCTGCTTGTGCCAGAGCTCGAAGTGTCTTCAGTTCTTTCGAGTTCTTGGAGGGACTGCGGCACACTTGTCCTGGCTTACAGAGTGCTTTAGTTTCGTTTCACCCAAGAAGCCAACAGCCATCTGGGCAGCATGATGCATGCGCTGCAAGCTATCTGCAAGCTTCCTGCAGTCCGCTGTCGATCCCAGAGCTTTCTGAATAGCTGCACCGCATCACTTTCCTAACCTGTCAGATCCTGCAGCATCGAGGATCAGTAATAGCACAGCACGTGCTCGCCTGCCTAGCTCGGAGCCTACGGTCGCCGCAGCTGGCCAAGGCGCACCCAGAGAGGTAGCAGATGGTAGCGGGTCAAGTGGAATTCATCGAGTTTCGAAGCTTCGGCGCAGCCCTCCGCAACCAAGTTTCCTGGAAGCAGTCTGATGTCATGCAGGGCTCCGTTGAAGCTCATAAGGTCTTAGGTGGGGCTCCTTTACTGAAGTTCAAGATCCTGACTGCAGAACTGGGTTCAGGTTGCGCAGCTGCTGGAGAAAATGGCCGCTCGGCTTGAGGGCAGCTGGAGGGCTTGAGATCCCAAATCTACTCCGAGCCTGCACTGAGACCGCATAGATGGCGCAGCAGGAGTACGTGGAGGGGAGGCTCGCTATGTGATCCTGAAGCCGGGCTTCCTTTCTTGCCACGCTTCGACCAAGCTGAGGATTCACACTGACTGGGGCTTTTATCAACGGGAAGTGTAGTGAAGTTCTTAAAGAGACTGCGACTTTTGCTGCCAGGCTGCTGGATGGCTTCCTGTTGCTGGCGGCCGGCGGGTCCGGACAACCCGAAGGGGTCGGGCGCTTGTTGTTCGCTAGCTAGCGCCCGCTGCCTCAAAGTGAAATCTCCCAGTATCCCTTGCGTCATCCCTTAAAGTAACCCTTAGAGTATCGCCCTTTGATGTGGAGGATGTGGAGGTTTCTGCAGTTTTAGAATTCTCCTCAGAAGTGAGTGACTAGAATGGCATAATGGCATATTTTCAAATTCTCCGGAAATGCTGGCGATCCCATCGCCTTTGAGGAACCACTTTTTCAAAGTCAAGCCCCACGACCACTGAAGCCGAAGATGGTGGAGCTGAGGTGATTACCGTGAACCTGTCCTCCTTGCAGATCGTGGACATCGCCGAAGAGGCAGGTCCATGCTCCCGCATCCACTGAGCTCATTCAAGCCTTCGGGTTTTGGGGCTTTTTTTCTTCTGGTGGGCTGGCGGCTTCGGGAGGTTGGCTTCATTCTTCAGCTCATGTCCAGACCTCTAGCCCCATATCCCTCAACAAGGTTCATGAGGCAGCCTCAGTCATCATGATCATCATGACTGTGACGACCGTGTTGGCAGAACGCACCAGCACCAGCATTAGCAGCACCAGCAGCCGTCGTCGTCGTCGTCGTCGTTGTCGGGCATCGGTCCTCGCTCGCTGATTGTAGCCGCAGAGATAATGGCTGTCGTAGTCGTAGTCGAAGCAGTAAGAGCTAGAAGTAGTGTAAGCAGTGAAAGTAGTAAGTAGTAGAAGTAGTAGAAATGCATTGCTTGAAGTGCCAACAATAACAACCCAGTGTTTGCCGGAGGCAGGGTCTTGATAAGCTCCGTTCGAGCTGTGGCTCGAGGGTGTCACCAGGTACCAGCTGGGCTTCCGGCCCGCTGGGACATGGGGGCACCAAGGACAACATCCGTTTTCTCGAGCCATGGCTTCAGACCTGCCCACGGACGCTCAGCTCGCTGGCATCACCACCGTGGCTCAAGCCATCCTGTTGGACGTCGCCTTGGGAATGGTCCCCAGTCTTCGGATTTTGGGGAACATCCCGGCTGCTGCTCTTCGTCTTGCCGTACATGCCGCGCGCGTCGCCGTAGCACCGCCGGTCAACCCGACCATGTCCCTGCGAGTCAGCGGGGCCTCACGGTCGTGGAATTGACGCAGGTGGGGTTGCTTTGGAGGGTTCCGCGGCAAAAGGCCGAACGAGAAGAACGACGCGGAGCTCTTCTGGACGACCCCCGCTCCGGTCCTCACGTCGGGGACGCCCCGGGTTAGGCTGGTGGATTGGTGGATGGATCGTTTACGATGACTGGCTTGCATCAGTCATGGAGTGTGTTCGAGAACGCTCTCCTCATGTTCGAGGAAGGACACGGCTGGCGACAGGGACGTCAAAGGGGCGGGCACAGCCTTCGATTATAGCGACAAGAGCTACGTGCACTTGTGCCAGAAGTGCTGGGCAAGCACTCCCTTAAAGCGTGCCCGGCATGCCGCCCGGGCTTCCTCACCCCACCGTCCTTGCAAAGACGGTGGCGTACTTGTGCTTGAAAAAGTATAAGAGCGCCGCGATCGCCGGAAGTACGTGGTGAGCCCGGGCTTCCGCTAGGATGGTTCGGCGCCAAGGCCAGGCGGGGAAGGCAGCCTGTGGTGTTTCCGCCGCAACGGCTGGCGCGAGCGACGAGGCCGGGCTGTTCTTAGTTAGGAGATGCTGGCTGCCGCTCACCACGAGCTCGCCTCTACGCTTGGAGCCCTCCATGGGGGCCTGGCCGAGGAGGCCCACCAGATGCCCGCGTTTGCAGGGTCCTTTCGAACCCCGCCCTGGACCGCCAGGCAGTGGCGCATGGAGCTGCTGTGATGCTGGTGCAGCACGCGATCGCCGGCATGCTCCATCGGCCGAACGCCATGACTGGCTCACCGCACACATGGTCCACGACGTGCGGCTGGAAGTGGGCCGAGATGGGACTTGCTGGAAAGTTCCGGCAGGGCACGTGCTGCGGCATATGTTTTCGCCCGTGAAAACACGAGGCGCGGATCTGAGCGTGCACGAAATTAAGAAGAAAAAGATGTGGGCCCGCCTTGGTCTGGGATTCGGAGGTTGTGCATCCCTAGACCTGGGTCCGCGGCTTCCGGGGAGGGGTTTTGGGTTTCAGGGTTTCCCTGGTTACCCTACCACCTGGGATTTACTTCTTAACGGTTGTCCGGGTGTTTTGCCGTTGTCGGCGGCACAACATCAAGAGGGACGATCATGACCCTTTCTTTGGGGGGAGGTTCCTCCAGGGCTCCTAAGCGTACCCTGCGCAAGGTACGAAAGAAGAAGAAGAAGAAAAAGAAGAAGAAGAAGAAGTAGGGGGTGCGGAGTAAGGGTGACCCCCGAGGCTCGGCGGGGTCACCGGCTCCTCGCCTAAAATTAAATAGGTTTGTGCTGTAAGTCCTGGCCCGGCCTTCGGAGGGGGCCAGGCCGGGCGACCGTTCGAGCTTTAGGCTCACGACCAGCCACCTTTCGAAAGAAAAAAGAGTATGTGCGTGCCGGGCGGTCGGGTGGGGGCACGCGGACACGACGGGTTGTTGTAGAGAATAAGCCGACAAAGAATAGAGAATAAGCAGAGCATCAGTACAGTATACGTAGAGCATGACGAGCATGATCAGCAGTAGAAGTACTATAACACTGATACAGTTGGTATAGGTGCTAGAAGAAATGGAGGCATTACAGGTCGTACATGTAGTATAAGTCCTACAAAATACTGCAAATTGTAAAGGTAGTAGTCGTCGTCGTCATCGCCATAGCTGCAGCAGCAGTAGCAGCTTTGTCCTCCTGGTTCCGATGATCCCGTTGACTGCTAGTGTTTCCCATTTCCCATTGAACAACGTCTGGGAGGACTTGTCCTTCTTCACCCACCTCGACAGGGTGGACCTTAGCGACAATCAGTTGGGACGGGGCCCCAGGTGAAGGGATCACGAGTGGGGGGCTTATTCCAAGCCAGGACATCTCATCCTGGATATCTTGTGGAATACAACGACATACTATGCTAGAAACTAAAACCTCCCAAACAGGTCACTATCTCGTATAAAAGCCCCCGCGCTAGGCCTGGGATTTGTCAACTATGTCGTGGCTGCCGTGGAAGAACTGCATCATCTCGAGATCCTTAGCCACCAAATCCCAGCCAATAATTAGCACTAAACGCCAAAACCCCGTTGCATGCCCATCTCAACCGTAAAAACTCCATAAGCCCCGTAGAGCCCTCAGCCCTAAACCCCCAATCCCTGACGGACCCTCAAGGCTACGAGCACCTTCTCGAGCAGATCGCTCGGCTCCCGCGATTGGGCACCCTAAACCTGGCCTGCAACTCCATCACCTCAATGCAGGCGCAACTGGGTTCTTGTTATGGGGTTTAATTTAAGTTACCATAACAAGGAAACCATTCTCTTTACTATAGATCCCTATAATGATAACTTAAATTATTGTAATTCCCTGAAAAAGAACCCAGGCAAGTGAACCCAAGGGCTTCAGGCTTTGCGTGACTTCGGACCCTCAAAGCCCAGACCCTAAACCAAACCCTAACCCCTAAATCCAACACCCAAGCTTACCTGGGCGGATGGCAAACGGTGTGCAACACTACTCCTACACCCTAACTCCCAAACCCCAAACCCTACGCAGATCCTGCGGAAGCCCCAAAGGCTCCGAAAATTTGATTGTTGGTGCAGGTCGGAGCTGGCATCCTCCAGAGCTTGGAGGCTCCGGCGCATGGGTTTAGGGTTCAGGGCTGAGAGTTGAGGTCTTTCGGCTTTAAGGGCTTGGGGCTTGGGGTTGAGGGCTGAGGTTTAGGGTGTAGGGATGCCCACTTCCCTGGAAGATGTTGACTCTGGAACTGCAGGAAGGGAGCTTTCTGTCCCAAGCAAACTCACATTACATCTAGCAGTATGTAGTCCACCATGTGGTGTATACATTCTTATTATTCTTGTTGTGGTTGTTTTGTAGTTCGTAGTAGTAGTACTTAGTAGTGTTATGACTACTCATTTGCAGTAACATATTTTCTACTACTATTACTAGCGACTAGCGCTAGTACCATTTTCTTAACCTCACCATTGCTGTTGCCATCCCTCTTG